GCCGCAGGTTACACTGGGGGTGTCCCTCTTAGTTTCTCTACAAGACACACACAGTCACAGGGGAGTTGGAAATCATGCAGTGCAGAGGGGAAGGGGTAATAAACACTGAGAAGGGCAGAGAGAGAGAGAGAGAGAGAGAGAGAGAGAGAGAGAGAGAGAGAGAGCGAGAGCGAGCACACAGCGAGTAAATGAAGGAAAAGAAGCCGTGGAGGCAGAGAAATTTCATTCACGTGCCAGATGGAAAAGACCAGGGTAATCAGTGTTTTGAGGCAATATGGGAGTTTCCGTTATGAACATTACCTGTGTATGAATGCATTTTGTGTTTTTTGGTCTCGATTGTTTTATCTTCTATCATCTGTCTGAATTTATAATTTATAATGGTTTTCATGTGTCTGTCTTCTCCATTAGACTTTAAGCTGAAGAAGGGTCTCGTCTCTTCTGCTTCATCTGCAGAAACAGCAAAACATGTCACATTTTGTAGGGACACATTGGCTTAGTGTATGAATAATGTATGTGAAATATATAGCATTCATATATGAAAATTATTCACATATTGTGTTTCTACTTTCTTTTCTTTGTTACAGATTCTGTTATTTTGTTGAAAACCCAGAAAGATGTTCTGCGATTTCAAAGAAAAATGAAACCTAAAAAACATCACTGTTCACAGTGTTCACTACATTTAAAAAGAAATGCACAACTAGAAAATGAGAATTTTGAGGTAAAAAAGGTGCTATCAGAGTTTCAGCAGGAAAATGCAGAACTGAAACAACAACTCCACGATTTGAGGTATCATATCCTAGATTCAAAGGAGGGGTAGAACCCTTTCCTTTATTCCAGTTGAAATAAGAAGGAAAAGTCTTTATCTGTTAGCATTTTGCAAGGGAGAAAATTTGAATAAAATACAAATTTCTTACAAACTAGATAACATATTGTTAAATGTGATTACTTCTAAAAATTAAATGCATATTCTTCCCTGTCACAATTTTAATGGCTATATGGAAACCCTTCTGTTAGAACTCTATTTATTTAACTAACAGAATTTGGTGTTATTTGTCTATATTTTTAACTCTTTTATTACAATTAATGTTTCAAGAAATATTATTTAGAAAAAATCATTTTACACTCAAGGTGCCATGGTACATGCCTATAATCCCAGCAGCCTGGGAGGCAGAGGAAGGAGGATCAAAAGTTCAAAGCAAGCCTCAGCAACTTAGCAAGGGTCGTAAGCAAATCAGTGTGACCCTGTCTGAAAATTAAAAAAAGAAAAAGATTTGGGATGTCACTTCTGTGGGTTCAATTCCTGGTGCCAAAGGTGGGGGTGAGAATAAAAGAATAGAAAAAAATATATTCTATATTTCTGTTTACTTTTTTAAAAAA